AAAGACTTTATTATGTATTCACGTGTAGCTGGATCAAGTTACTATGGAAACTGAATAAAGACTTTATTATGTATTCACGTGTAGCTGGATCAAGTTACTTGGTAAAGTGAATGAAGTTCTGGTTATGTTTTCACGTGTAGCTGTGCCAGGTTACTAGGTGACGTGAATACTATCTTAATTATGTACTAACGTGTTGCTGTCACGATTAGCGCTGTGGTGGAGTTTCCAACGGGCACAGACATCGCACGCGATCTAATGATTTGTCCAGCACAATGCCGTGATATTTTTGTATTTTCAAAGTACAGACTCGTGTGTAACTGGTCCGAGCTTGAGGTTACAGAAGGGCATCAATGGCGAGGAGGAAACGAGGGTAAATGGTTATTTCTACTAAAGTGGATTCTATTGTGATAGACGTTTAATGATGTGGAGAGCAAAACGCTAACGCTTTTGTGTTTCATAGGTAAAATATACTGTTATTTATTTATTATTACATTCATTATCATCATTTATTTTAATATACTATATATATATCCAGTTTCATTGCTTTTTACTTTTGTTTTTATTATTGTTATACTTTTACTATAAAGACTGTTTTCCATTATTAGCTCTTTATGTGTGTTTAGGACTAACTTAAATCCCCTAAACTGGCCCAATCTTGTGAGACATTATTGAGATTATGGTTGAAAATATCGGTAAGGACGAGAGTGTTCAACTGATGAAACAATAGAGTCTACTTTTCATTGTACAAGAATATAAGGAAAGTATACTTAATTAGTTATAATCATTAACGATACCACATTAAATTTTACCTTCGCTATAAACAGGAAGCTGTCTCTGATGGGAAGTTAATAAATAGTGTAAGATGCCTTTCAGTGAATATAGGACGGTTTTAGTTATAAACATGTAGGATTAGATATCTTACATTGTTTTAATACACATGTGTAGGGTTAGTTATCTTACATTGTTTTAATACATATGTGTGTAGGGTTAGTTATCTTACATTGTTTTAATACACATGTGTAGGATTAGTTATCTTACATTGTTTTAATACACATATGTAAGATTAGTTATCTAACATTGTTTTAGTGCACATGTGTAGGATTAGATATCTTACATTGTTTTAATACACATGTGTAGGATTAGTTATCTTACATTGTTTTAATACACATGTGTAAGATTAGTTATCTTACATTGTTTTAATACACATGTGTAAGATTAGTTATCTTACATTGTTTTAGTTATACATGTCTAGGATTATATATCTTACATTGTTTTAGTATAGTTTGTTTTAGTTACACATATCTAGGATTATATATCTTACATTGTTTTAGTATGGTTTGTTTTAGTTACACATATCTAGGATTATATATCTTACATTGTTTTAGCATAGTTTGTTTTAGTTATATACATGTGTAGGATTACATATCCTACATTGTTTTAGTACACATGTGTAGAATTAGACTTACCTTGAGAAAATCCCATTACAAAGACCAAGTAAATCGTTACAAATCGTAGCAAGTCTGTCATTATCATTTTGTAGATCATAACCACGAAAGGTCCAACTAACTTAAATCCCCTGTTGAAATATAGGAAGAAACGCAATTAACAATGTATGGCTTTGTAAAATAATTACATTAGATATTTTTGAGTCAGTGTTTATGTTACTGGTTGGATTGATGCTTAATACCAAAGCACTCAATTTTTATGTTAAATTTCGGCTATTTGCGTTTCAATTCGGAAAAAGTGTTTTGATATTAACAAATCAAAACAAAAGGTAGTGTTTTCAACAATTTCTCACCTGCAGAAGAATAGAAAATACGGAGCAGTGCTAATCATGACGAAAACAGCGACGATATCCTCAGCACGACAAAAACACGCCAGTCTTAACGGTACCATCAAAATTACAAGAATGCACGAGATAAGAAACAAAACCCGCGACGGTACTGTCATCTATAAATCAAATATGTTATTTTTGCAGTGAATTATTGTGTCACGTTAAAAAGCAATTTTTTAAATACAAGATGAAACCTTAGATAATGCTTAGAAATATTTCCAAGAAATACTAAAGCAACAGAATTTCACTACTATCGTACATTTTTCAATTAATAATGCATTTTAATGTACATAACTGCCCCCCAGTGGCACAGCGGTATGTCTGCGGACTTACAACGCTAGAATCCGGGTTTCGATACCCGTGGTGGGCAGAGCACAGATAGCCCATTGTGTAGCTTTGTGCTTAATTACACATAAACAAATAAACATGTACATAACTAAATCACCCAAATATTCAGATTTTTGTCAAATGGTAAGGTCAACCTTTTTAAATCTTATATAAAAGTTATTTCCACTACATGGAGTTGTATGAAGATTTTTGTTTTATAGAACAAAGCCACCCAAAAGACTCTCTGCACTCTTTCAACTGCAGGGACCGAACCCCGGACTTAAGCATTGTTAAATCCGTAAACTTAAAGCTGATATACCGGGAGACACTATATAAAAATAAGAAGTAGTTGATAATAAGTATATCTCTTTTCAAATATTTATTATTAGTTGCAGAGATTCCATCTTCATTTTATATTTGTTTCCGATATTCACAGAAAGTCACACAATTGGCCCT